AGGTTGGTGTCAAAACTTACAGGTCTTCCGTGTTCTGTAACCATGTGATCCTTCAAGATTTCTCCACGGAAAGCCTTTCCACATTCAGTGCACCGTTTCTTGCCTTGTAAGGGCTTGTGTTTCAACTTATGGTTATAGTACCTGCGAATATAGAGACCAAATAAAAATTTCCGTCAAATCGTCATCTTTCGCAGCAAAAAATAAAAAAAACTGTACTGTACATGAAACCTACGAATATAAAAAGGAGCACGAGTGATTAACTCACTGGTTCTGAGTCCTAAAGTAAATGCCACAGGCCTGACACAAGTAATCCTTCTCCAAGACAGGCATTAGAGCATGTTTCTTGGCTATGTGACTCGAGAGAGCCATGTCCGTCGGCAATCGCTCTCCGCATTTCTCACACGGAAACGCATTCTCCTCATTTCCGTGCTCAATGAGTACGTGATGCAAAAACAACTCCCGAAGACCAGTTTTAAACCTAAGAGGAAAAAAAAACATGAAACGTGATATTAGCACAAAATCACAATTTTACACCGGATAACGGACGCTTCAAGTGATACGATTTTTCGCACAACAAGACTCGTGCTGCCACCTATTTCTACTTCAAAATATAGAAACCACGAAAACTCATTTTCTTCGAAATTAAATTGATTATACCAAGTTTGATTTATTAGAATTGAAGTTGCCGCGGGAAATATAACAACAGCATACCATCATCAGCTTTTTTTCTGGTAGATAAAAGCTTGTTCGATATTCTCGACTCCATTCAAAACACAAGATTTTTCTTTGCTCCAAATGCTGGCTGTCATTTTCTGTTACAAATATTCATTGTTCATTAGTTATTCTTCCTCAAATATTCTTTTTGTAAGAAAATCCAAGGGATCTGGAATGGATCAGACATTAGAAGAAGGCAGGGTCACATTATTTATAGAACTAGTCCATTCCTGGATGCTGCTCTTGTTATGCAAAATTTTAGTACGCAAAACAAAATTTCCTGTAAGTTTACTTAAAAATCTATTTTATTTGTCAGACACTCACCACTCACTTGGAAGGGAATTTGAAATTGATCAGCATAACAATAAAGCAATCCTGACACGTTTGTGCTCTTGATTTTTAGAAATTTACAAAGTTTAAATACACTAGAAGAAACATTCTTCCCTCTTTTCATCACTTTCCTGTAATTTCCAGAAAACGCCAAAGTTTTAGCCCAAAAGTACAACAAATTTCAGTGTTTTTCCGACAAAAAGTCCATTATGTGAAACAAGATTGGTATGTGAGTCGACTTATTACACCTACAAAATAGCATAAACCAATGCTTTGTCGTTTTGTAAGAGAGCGGGGACCCACTCATAGTTCAAAAGAAGTCGGTGAATGAACTTTTTTCCATTTCAGAGGGAAGTTTATCAACCGATGAGCCGTTGCACAGAACTACAGGTAGACTCTCTCGACAAGAATCTTGTCCACAAAAATTTCACCTGCAAAAATTTCACAACGATTTTGCATTCCATCCCATACGGTTCTATACCCATCTTACAGGTGTTAAAAAAAAAAAAATTATTTCCTGGTTCCTTGTACAGTAGAATTTTATTGTAGAGAGAGTCTACCTTTTTTTTGTCAAAAAGAAAAATATAAAATAAAAACCCCGACTATGACATCAAAGAGCGCACCTGCAGAACATACAGCGCAACATGTCAACCCCCATGTTCTTCCGCTCCTCGTCCGTCCTCCCGATCCGTCCCTTGTGCGTGATCAAAATGTGATCGCTGAGGGCGTCTTTGAGGAACGGGGATCGACACGTGATGCACGTGACGCGGTCAGTGTTGTCGTGCAGGTGACGGTTCATGTGCTCGGCGTGGGCGTCGGCCGTCGGGAAGAACCGACCGCATTCGAAGCACTGGGGTCCGTCGGGAATAAAGTGCTCGGCACGGTAGTGCCGAATGAGGAGACGGGACGTGGAAATGATCTTGTCGCATTCGTCGCAAATGAACTTCTTCTTCACCGTGTTCTTGCGGGCGCGTCTCACGGCTGGCGGTGGACGGACGACCGGCTTCGCAACAGTCTTCAAACCCAATAATTATGCATAATTAAATTCATTTCAAATCACGGAAAAAGAAAAGAAAAGTTGAAATTCAATATGAATAGGTGGGATGATCTATTCCGCGAGCTGGTTTAAACTTTTCTCGCGTTATTCTAGACGTTTACAATCTTTCCGAGACATTTTGAGCAACGCAATATTCAAATACTGTACTGCATTTTCATCCAAAAGCCAAATCTTTCTTAGAAATGATTCAAAAACAAGACAACCTGAAATCGATTTCAATTTTTTTCCCGTGTTCTTAAAGATGTTTACGACACTCCCAAGGAATTGAAAGCAACGCATTTCTGGATTTCAACTCTTCAAATTCAAAAACAAAACTTTCTTCAGATCGACTCGAACTTCCAAAATTAAACTACTACATTTTGAAACAGTGCGAAGAAATAGAATATAACAGAACACCATGCGCATCATGATCACAACACAGATTCCAACTTTAATTCATGACATCTCCTCTTCCTTTCCTCTAAAATAAAAAAGAACAACCCTAAGAATGAGCCTTAGTCTCTTTTGAGAAAGCATAATAGAAGACCTTTGTCATTCTTTTTAGGGACTACGGTAAGAAAAGTATGAGGTAAAACAAAGTTTCTCTGCATAACGAACTTTTTCCGAGAATCCCATGAAGTTCTCTCCCCATGTTCAAGGTTTGCTACAAAGAAATTCTCGCTTCAACAAATTTTTTCCTGGTCACTCGAATTTTGCCGCAAATCTCGTTTTGAGTGTGAATTATACTTGGCTAAAAAAATTTAGGAAATTCGACGGACCAGAAAAAAATTTGTTGCAAAGAGAATTTTTTTGTAGAGAGAGAGTCCACCTGGATTGAGCAAATTATAAACCACACGCGAAACGATATTTGCAACACAAATCTTCAAATTAAATAAAAAATCCTTTCAGCTCACCCTGATTTGCCCGATGCGTTCCCCCTTGGGAATATCATAAGTCGTATGAGTATGATTCACAGCTTTGAACATGGGGTCGTAAAAAAACTTCTTCTCAGCCAAATTGATCGCCCCTTTCACCATACACTGCACTCTCGTGGCTCGGTAGTGATTGCAGCGCATGAAACGAATATTGTCGTCCGTTTTGCGGAATCGATACTGATAGAAAGCGAATCCTTCCACGTCCACCATCCTGAGGCCTTTAACCTGTCGCATATTCTTGTATTCCATCGGCGAACCATACGCCGGATTCGTCACGGACCAGGGCTTCAGGAATCCGGCACTCGGTTTAGAAACGTAACTGTGGTCTTCGTATTTGTCATTCGACAGTGGTTTCTTGGAGTCGTAGCCTTCGTCGTCGGATCCGACGTCGGTGCTGTGGTTATTGTTGTCACTGTCGCCGAAAATGTCGTCAGTGGAGTCTGAAGACGCGTTCTCAATTTTGAGAAGCGAGTCGAGGACGTCACTCAGAGGAACTTCCGCTGATTCCTTTTTCGGCGGCTGGACTCGAGACAGTGTGGAGCTTCTTGTGGCGGGTTTCGATTTCACTAATACGCTGGAAGGTGATTCTTCTTTCACCTTCTTCTCTACAGGCACCTGCAAAAAAAATTTCGCATACTCTATTTACGATATGCAGTATTTTTCGACAACGCGGTTATTTTTCTTTTTAATTTCCGACTTGAGCAACAACGAACGAAAAATAAAATAAAGGCAACCCTCCACTTAGTGCCACACATTTCCCTGAAACAAATATCCGTTTATTGTGTTTTTAGGGAAACCCAATTTAGAGCCTGAAAAATGGGCCAAAATCAAAGAAATTAACAAATTAGGGCTGTTTTCTAGGAATCTAGGGATGACATTAGGTTATTACTGAGAATTACACACCCATGCTTAAAAAAAAAAAAAAAACTCAGGAACTTTTTGAAAATTCGATTTCTGAATTAACACCACTGAAAATTATTTTCTTGCTGAATGGCAACTTCCTTTAATTGAAAATTGTACGAATGACGTGGGAGCATTCTTGGAAATATTGGGGATTCCTGCATGAAGACACCTGATGTCAAACTAAAACTCAAACGAAACTTCAAGAAACAGCTCTGCTTATTTATTACACGAAATACGTTTAAAAATTAATATATTCTGTCGAACAGTATTAAACATTGTATATTGAAATACAGAACAAAAACAGAGCATTTGCACTTTGTATTATTTCCTATGGATTTCTCTTCTACTCAATGACGTAATAATTATGTGAACAAGCTTACTACCACATAATGTGCCACGACAGATGATGGCAAAAAGTCAAGGTTTGACAGCGAAGTAGCCTGCATTAATCCAACGATAATCTGCATTTAATGTCGTTCAACAGACGAAATCTCAGACAGAATTTCAAGACAAATGACAAAAAATTCTAATAAAGAATGCTTGCAAATTGATGGAACCTTTTCGATTCCCTGACATGAAAGATGAAACTAGATCTGCTAAAAAAAGAAAAAAAAATTATGACACATGAAAAATAAAAACTCTTAATTCAATTTGAACGCAGAAAAAAAAAACTCACTGAAGATTCAGCCTTAACAGACTTGCGTTTCCTTCCGCGAGTCGGCCTGAGTGTCGCAAGCTGCTCGTCCTTCTTCTCCTTTTCAGCATAGAGCTCTTTGCAAATCTTGAGTTTCGCGTAGTAGGAGGCCATTAAATCGTCGCAAGCAACGACGAGGTCCATGCACCGAACGCACATGTCCGCGTCGGTCGAATTCTCCACGTCTTCCTTCTTCATGTTGTCCATGAAGAATTCCAACGCACTGCCCCAAAACTTGAGTCGCACCTTTCCCATCACACTTTCCGCACTTGGCAGCGACTCGCCGCACATCAAACATCGCGGCATTTTTACACAAACCCCTTTTTCGTCTAAAAGAAAAAAAGGAGGATTCCGTTTATAATGATATATCACACAATATTCCAGTATTAGTTGCGATAAAAAAAAAAATTAACTCGACTTCCACCACGGATCTCCAGAGAAGCAAAGCCGAGCATCGATCACATGGCTTCTTCTCTCATCCAAACTGTTTTCGGAATCACACAAACGAACTCAGAAACGAATAAAAATCGTGAACAAAGAAATGAGTGGCATGAATCGAATACAGTACTGATCACAGAATGGAACGCCAGGATATTTTCAGAAGTCCTCTAATCGCCCAAAGCTCCCGATTTTCTTTTTCATACTTGCATTTTTCTTAAGGATTTATCCAATTTTTAATTATCACATTTCCAACTGGAACTATGAGAAAAATAAATACATTACAGTAGAATGTAACAGAATCGCTGATTCCTCAGAATCACATGCTCAGCAATAAATGAAGTAGACGTTATCCAAAAATCAAAATGTTTCTAAATAAGAATAATAAGGCTTCAAAAAAGATGAAAAAGTATCGCAAAACGGAACTCAAAACCCATTTTACTCAAGAAAAAAAGTTTTCAGCACTTTCTTCTAAACAAGCAGACAAAAGATGTGAAGGATAAATTGAAAAACATGATTTTATCAATGCTATGGAACTCAAGAGGTGCACCAAAATTAATGGCTATCAAAGCAAGCTATTATATCTGGACTGTTATACCTAGAGAATGTTTTTCCCCCTGGAATTGACCTCAGGGACCTTCTTGTGTATGAAACAACTTTCGAAAATATCCTCGCAACATGAACCAAAAATAATTATTCCACGAACACCAAGCAATCCAGAAACAAGGACACCCATCGCAAATTTGGAATAACATAGCAGATTTCACTCACACCCACAAAAACATGAAAAAAATTGCCTATAAAGATATGCAAAATATTCTTGCCAACGTCATCATTCCAGTGAACTTGCGCTTTTGATAATTTTTAAGGCACTGACCGGCAAATGAATTCCTAGAAGGGAATTGAAAGTTTTCACATTAAATCAAGTAACCGTTCATCATAACAAATTAAGGCAATTCGAAAATGAAAGTTCAAATTTTTGCAGTTTTACATTTGCAGCTATCAGATGAAGAAAATCCACAGCAAACAAAGATTAAATACTTTGATAAAGTGTTTGTTTGCTGTTTTAATATTTTGAACAGAAACAATTCTTGATCTAGGATCAAAATCAGTTGAAATCAGGAGATTCCGTGCTTTCTGTCTTTCAAAACAGAATCTCACAACATTTACGCTCTGCTCATCATTCAATAACGTAAATCACATCAAAGAGGGCATTTCTCTTTTTTTGTTGGACCAAATGTTCATTTAGAAAACAGTTGGAGGATTCAAAGGAATATCCCCCTTTTTGTAGAGCCTCAGTTGCGCACCTTTCTCCCGCTGCTTCACGTAAAGCGGAATCTTCTTCATGGCAATCGTCATCCCATGCACATCCTTCATATGCTCTTTAAAATCCGCCTTTTCCGGACACGCCACATCGCAAAATTTGCACTCGAGGCCAAACTGCATCTGGTAATTATTCGCCCAACCATGGGCCCCCTGATAATGCGTTCTTCGCTGAAACATCGTAGGGAACACGATTCCGCAAGTGGTGCAGGGATAGTGTCCCACTTCCAGCTCGTCTCCGTGTTGCCTGGCCCGATGGAAATTGTAGGCTGTTCGTCCCTTGTAGGACTTGCCGCAGTCCTCGCAGACCTTCAAACGACGCATGGTGTTGGTGTTGGGCAGGGGACGCCCATGGGCGGCTTCTTGGTGTTGCCGGACTTTCATGGCGGTCGGGAAAAATTCCCCGCATTCTTTGCATTCTCTAGTCGGCTACGAAACAAACAGAACAAGGTTGAAACATTTCTAAAGTGATTCTAAAAAAATTAAAGGCACACTCATGAATTTAATAAGTATTCCAGATCATTTTTCAAACATTTTCGGGATAAACTTCCCTTATAAAAACAAAGTCGGATTTTTGATTTGGCACAATCAACCGTAAACTTTTCAACAACCTAAATTTTCATTCACCTAGGAAACAAGAAATTTCGATGACACGTTCGCATAAAATGAATTTGAACCTCTTCGGGCCTCGATTTATAGTATTTCCTGCAGTTGCAGCCTTGATTTGTAGAACGTTTTGTTCAGCAGCTGAAAAATCAAGCCAACTTAGATATTCAGCATTCTGTGACATAAAATGTTTCAGGATCAGGTAAAACTTTAGATCTGGAACAGCGTCATCCTGATGAGTTGGGGAGGTTTCTTATGCTTCGCCAAGGGAATTTAAAGGGTCTAAAAAAATTAATTTCCGACGCAGAAGGCTTCGATTTGACGAGATCCAAGATTAGATTTAATTCAGCATGATTAATTCTTGCGATAATCCTTGAGACACACACACACACACACAAATAATGTGTCACTCACTGGATGACCGTGAGCCAAAGTCATGTGGTCTCTCAAGGCTGCTGGCCCCATGAATTCCCCACAGTCCGGACAAAGCTGCTTTCCTTGATTAGGCCTATGTGTTAGTCTGTGGTGGTTCATCTTCCTGCGATCGTCAAACTTCAAATCGCATTCTTTGCATTTATACAACGGTCCGTATTCTCTCGCAGTCTTGGGATGCAAATCGCTCCGGTGCTTCACCAACATCTGACTCTTCCTTCAACGAGAGAACACAAAAAGGAGACTTTCATTTTCTCGAAATTGAAACGCATCAACGACAAAAATTTCTAAGCAAGACAATCTTGAGAGACTTGAACGATAACGCATATATTTTTGCATCGAAATATTGCTTCGCAAAACTTACTGGAAGCGTTCGCCACATTCGTCGCACGGGAAAGGCAACTCGTCGTTGGCATGAAACGCGGAAAGATGCAGTAAAAAGTCGTCTCGATGCAAAACCTGATAAGGACAATGAGGACAAGCGAGGAGTTTCACACCCATGCTTTCTCGTTCGGCCTTTGTCCGACCCAGTCGACCCTTGTGTATCATCCGTACGTGGGTTTTCAGAGAAGGATAACTGATGATCGACCGACAAGTAATGCAAGACACCTGGAATAATAATAATAAAAATATAAATAAAGCGATAAAACAATCAGAACATTCAAACAACCGCGAGAGTTCAACAAGGAACATTTTCACTCGTGAATTCAGGAGAGTAAGATGAACATCCGTCGACTTCTGAACGCTTAGACACACGTGAACTGTTTCGGTTCTTCTCATCACCGAAACCTGCCCATCTCATTGATAATGTTATTCTTTCCCATTCTCTAGATGTTAAAATCAAGCAATATCAAGGTACGGCAGATAAATTGGTTAGTAAACAGCCATTTTTCTAAAGCAGTGACATCTACAATGTTTGAACACAAGATATTGAGGATAAGCAGACATTTCAATATTTAGCGCATGAAAGTATTGTTTTGTATTGGTTCTTTTCATCAACAGAATCCGCCTCTCAGACAGCAACTTTTCCTCTGCTATACCTCAAGCACTATCAAGTTATGGTAGTTAGATATGCATAGATCAGGTACAGTTAAGAATTGCTTCCTTGAATGACGGATAGATGTCGCCTAAATCAAGATGAACAAAATTGAACTCTAACCAAGTCTCCATATGACATGGTACAGAATTACCGCGAAAATAAGCAGCTCTTTTACCCAATTTTAGAGACCCAAAAACTAGGGGGATGGTTACTTTCGCATATTTATGTAATTTGCAAAAATATGCGCATACATCAGGGAATATTCCTGTTCTCGGCCCACAGAACGACAGAGCACTTCCTTTCTTCAATTCTTTTGGAATTCGATGTTGAAAATGATCAGCTTTCAGCATTTTAAGATGCATGAGTCAGCGACTGAAGTGGAGGAGCAAGGATTTTTATGAAACCATTTTTTCTTTTCCGAGGAAAACGTAAATTTAGCCAGCGCGTGAATACGGACCCCACTCCGGAAAATAAGGCGATATCAACAGTCAACACCATTTCTTCAAAGCAAAAATAAACGAGCAATCTGCCGAAAGATAACGTTTTCAAAAAAAAAATGACATCCACCTTATCCACGACTTCTTGATAGTGCAACTCGTTGTGCTCGTCCAACTCTTCCTGTTTCGCAAAATACCGCCCGCATTCGAGACACCGGACACCATCGTCAATTTTGTGCAGCTTTTCAAAGTGCTCAAAGAGCACGATCCGGGTTTTCGTTCCATAGCCGCAGTCGTCGCACATGCGTCGAAAGAACTTGCTTTGGGGCAATCTGAGTCTCCGCACTGCCGGGGTCTTGGGCCAGCGATGAAATCCCACGACTTTCGGCAAATGCTTGTCAGTCTCGTCGTCGGAATCAGCGGCTCTTTTCTTCATCAATTCCGGTTCCGGTTTCGTCGTCGTCGGGTTTCGTGAAGATGCTATTGGCGACCCGTTGGGGTTCTTATCCAGCTGACTCGGTTTCTTGCGACGAGGAACCTGGGGAGATATCGAGAAACTTCCGATTAATCGACTGTCAATTTAAAATGAATAAAAAATCGACACCGAACGCAGAAAGACGCATTTCATCCTTTTTAAATTTACTGTACAGTAATTGGAAATCGTCCATAAATATTTACGGGCAATGAGATATTATTATTATTATTATTACGCAACACATGTTCCAGCTTCGTCAAAAGGGAACAGCAAAAAAAAATATTCGACTTAGGGATGTTTTGAGTTTCATAGAATTATATATGTTTTGTTTATAGAGTCAAGCATTTTTAATTTTTTATTGCGAAAAACATTGACGAATTGCGCTAAATTCTACATTGCGATATTCTGGGCCTCAAATTGCTTCTAAAATGAGTTAACAAGGCACTCAACTTGGAGACAGGGGTTCATTTGCCCAATTTAGTCTGTCACATTCTGTCAAAGCACATCAAATTCCATTTTTCTTCTTATTTTCTTCTTCTTTCCATTTCCAATAAAATAATAACCTAAAGGCCTCAAAAATTCGACTTGTGGAGGTTTTAGAGGAAAAGCCTTCGGGTCAGGTAGGTTTTTTAAGCATTATTTCTAAGGGAATTCAAACGAGGACTAAAAAAAATCGACTTATGGAGGTTCAACTGAAAAGGTTTTCCATTTCGAAAAAAAATCAACACAGTCAGAAAAACGTTTGCAACAACAAAAGCATTTAAAAAAATAGAACTTCTTAAATTTCAGACTTTTTCTGACTAATTTTGAAAGTGACAGAGAGAAAAAAATATCGTCGATGGAAAAGATTCCACAAAATAATTCCCCCGGGGGAATCCGTTTCAGGTCACCGAACTCGGTAAACCCACACGCACCCCACTCAAGAAACTCTCTGCATAAAATAGGGCCAAGAATGCCTGAAAGCCGAAACCCTCAATCATCACCCATTATATATTTCCACCATCAGAAAATTCCCTTTTGAAAGAACAAAATCAAGTAGACGAAAATAAAAATAAAAAACAGAGTGGAATAATTATCAGCATCACAAATTAAATAGATCCGAATTATTGTCCAACAGGAACATAAAACCCGCAAGAGAAGAAGGAATAAATTTCGAATAAGGCCAACTGAGATGGGGGGATCTGATTGCTTGCCCCCTTGCGGTTCCCTCGTGGAATATTATGCGAATGAATGTTTTACGAAAAAATTGTGTCACTGGGTCCTGAATCGACAAAACAAGCAGATTGAGGAGCTTTTCTGGAAACCAGGGTTCAGTCTCATCCTGATTGCTGCACAAGAAAAGTGTTCCTGATAATGTACAAGGTTTAAAAAGAAACAATTTTATCAGTCGCAAAGTTCTCGAATAAAAACTTCTTTTTCAGGTGCCTTTAGAAAAAAATAGATCTATTTTATTCTGATTGACTGACAATAAGAAAAGTGTTCCTCATACTGTAAAAAGTTTAAAAAGAGAGGAAGTCAAGAAAAAAGTCTTGAAAATCGCGAAGTCCTCGAATAAAAACTTCTTTTTCAGGTGCCTTTAGAAAAAAAAGAGATCTATTTTATTCCGATTTACTGACAATAAGAAAAGTGTTCCTCATACTGTAAAAAGTTTAAAAAGAGAGGAAGTCAAGAAAAAGTCTTGAAAATCGTGAAGTTCTCAAATAAAAACTTTTTTCAGGTGCTTAAATTTTTTTCTTATTTTGATGGTCAAACAAGAGAAGTGTTCCTGATACAAGGCTTAAACGGAAACAATTTTATAAGTCGCAAAGTTCTCGAATAAAAACTTCTTTTTCAGGTGCCTTTAGAAAAAAAAAGAGATCTATTTTATTCCGATTGACGGACAATAAGTAAAGTTACTCATACTGAACAAAGTTTAAAAAGAGAGGAAGTCAAGAAAAAGTCTTGAAAATCGCGAAGTCCTCGAATATAAACTTTCATCAGGTCCTTTAAAAAAAGTGTCTTATTTTGATTGTCAAACAAGAAAAGTGTTCCTGACACCAAGGTTTAAAAAGAGAGAAAGGCAAGAAAACGGCATTGACTTGTGAAATTTTTGAATAAAATTTTTTTCAGAGAATTAAAAAAAAAACGTCACGATGCGGTTCAAAATCGGTGCGATTTTAATCATCTCGCTGATTTCGTTTTCTCAAGCGAATGACGAACACCGAGTGAAATCAATCACTGATGCCGAGTTGGTAAGCCTGCTGACTTTCTTGATTATTTATTCTTCCATGAAGCGAAGATAAAATTTACCATTTTTCATCATTTTTTTTTCAACAGACCCCCAGGGCATTGAACGCAATTTCAAGCAGACAAGCCCGACAAATATTCCAACTCCCGAACCCGCAAATCGACAGGCTCTTCAATCCTTTGCTGCTCTACCCAGGATGGCTCATGCTTTGGTACTTCCGTGAGTACTTATTTAATTCGATTGCATCAAAATCAGAAAATTTCGCGTTCCATTTTGAAAAAAAAAAAATAATAATACACAGTGAGACCCCAAGATGCGGACGTAATTGGTGCATCAAGAGTGTACTTAAGTCGAAATTTCCTCAAGTCAGGTCTTATTTTCCCTTAGACTTACATTATATAATTTTTAATTGGTGTTTTATGTACAAAATACTCCCCATAATTCCATGAAAATAAAAATTGTCTCCCAATTTAAACTGATTCAATCAATATATTTCAACACAATATGGACATTTGGGGAATTAAATACTGATAATACCTCTGTACAGTACTTTATTGTATACATACAATATACAGGTGAAACTCGATAACTCTAACCTCACAGAGTTGAAAACCCCCCCAAGTCGAATTTTTTTTCAGGTCCTGTCTGAATCCCCTTAGAACTAATGGATTTGAAACCTCCCTAAGTCAAAGGCTTTTTCCCTCAAACATTTATTAGTCGAATTTTCTGTGGCCTGTTGGCTTTTCTTTTCTTGACACAGGAAAGAAAAAATTCAATAAAACATAAATTGATTTGTTTTTAAATGAGGTGAGAGACTCCATTGGGCAAATGAAACCTGCCTCCAAGTTCAGGATGCTTTCAACTCATTCAAGAAATAATTTCAGCCTCAGAAGATTACAATTTTAAATTTTGAGCAATTTTTATAAGTTTCCCAACACAAAAGGGCTTTTTATTGTAGATAAATTCAAAACTTCCCTAAGTCGAATATTTTTTTTGCTGGTCCCTTGAAGTTCGACTTAGAGAGGTTCAGCTATTAATTAAATAACCATGCGTATCAGCATAAAGAATTTCTTCACAGGTCACTGGGAGAATTTTCTGTAACAAGATTTTACTGCACTGTACCTCAGAAAAGTTGCCAAAAAATAAATCAAATTTGCCGATTTTTTCGCTTTGCTCATACAATTGTATTCAATACAATTTTTTCGTGGTCTTTCCAACAGTTGGGCCGGGTATAGCAGCCATTATCCTGGGCTTCGTCTGGCCCTGGTACGAGTACATCCGCGCAGGCCACACCTACTACCACCCAGGAATCATTTTCGACAAGGACTTCACCGAGTACACGAAATGGTACTTCAAACACAAGATCTACAAAAAGAAGTACTGGAACCTCGACGCTTACCTCTACGACTACTACTTGTCTCAAAACGAGAATCTCAAGACTTTCTTCACTGAAGAAGAGATCCCTTCGAATGTTCTGGAACAATATCATTCCGGCGGACTAGGGAGTCACTCGCCGAAAGAAGAGCCAGAGAGTCACGGAGGACAAAAGCAGGGTTATAATAAGGACTCGTACGCGGGAAATGGTGATGATGATGGGAAATTAGAGCCGGTGTTGCACGAAGTCATCAAGGACATGATGGAGAGAAACGCTCATTTGCAACAATTTGTCAAAGACATGACCGAAGGGGATGGTTACAAAAAGCTCAAGGACATTGTGAAGGGGGTCATGAAAGATGAATTTTCTCCTCAGCCTCCAACAGAAGGTGAGCTATCAATTTTTTTTTATCGAATTTAATATTGCTTTTTTCATTTTTGGGTTTCATTTTTTGACACCAGGAGTTTCTCGCATGGGTGTCGCTTGAAATTTGAGAGAAACAATAATTCAAGTATGCCTCAAGTCAGTTTAGATTTTCGTATGTAGGTGTCGCTTGGATTTATGTCTCGTTCAGGTCCGTCTGAGTTAGGACAGATTTTGTCGCATAGGTGTCGCTTGGATTTTTGTCTTGTTCAGGTCCGTCTGAGTTAGGACAGATTTTGTCGCATAGGTGTCGCTTGGATTTTTGTCTTGTTCAGGTATGCCTGAGTTGGGTTAAATTTCCTTCCATAGGTGTCACTCAAACTTTTACCACATTCAGATGTGTCCGAGTTAGGTTAGATTTCCTTGCATAGGTGTCACTCGAATTTTTACAACATTTAGTAATGCATGAGTTAGGTTAGATTTCCTTCCATAGGTGTCACTTGACATTTCGTTAAATTTGAGTGCGTCCAAGTTGAGTTAGATTTCCTTGCATAGGTGTCACTCAAACTTTTGCTACATTTAGATATGCCTGAGTTAGGTTAGATTTCTTTCCACAGGTGTCACTCAAACTTTTGCTACATTTAGATATGCCTGAGTTAGGTTAGAATTCCTTGCATAGGTGTCACTCGAATTTTTACTACATTTCGTAATGCCTGAGTTAGGTTAGATTTCTTTCCACAGGTGTCACTCAAACTTTTGCTACATTTAGATATGCCTGAGTTAGGTTAGATTTCCTTCCATAGGTGTCACTTGCATTTTTGTTGAATTTAGGTAGCATAGGCCCAAGCAAGGTTAGATTTCCTTGAATAGGTGTCACTCTATTTGTTTCTACATTTAGGTATGCCTGAGGCAGGTTGGATTTATTTCTACAGGCGTCACTTGAATTTTTGCTACATTTAGGTATGCCCAAATTTGGTAAGATTTCCGTCCGTAGGTTTCACTGGAATTTTTGCCACTAAGTAATGCCTGAGTCAGGTTTGATTTCCTTCCATACGTTCTACTTGAATTTTTGTCATGTTCAGCTATGTCTGAGTTAGGTTAGCTTTCCTTTCATAGGTGTCACTAGGAATTTTGCTATGTTCAGGTAGGCCTGAGTAAGATTATATTTCCTTGCATAGGTGTCGCTTCAATTTTCGAATTGCCAAATCTTGTCAGAAAAAAATGTTGGGAGCCGGAAGCTTCTTTTTTCATCCACAAGAATGCTTAATAAAATAAATGTCTTGTGCTGTACCGTAATGAGATCTTACAGTATTCTATGTTTATTCGGGTACATTTATTATCACGTTGGTTAAGTATTGAAAACAAAATCAATCGGCAGGATCATATTTGATTTGTCAATAATTTCGACGGAGGGCATTTTAACGGGGTTTCCAACGCTGTAATTATTTTTGGAAGATGTATTTCTAAAAAGGGAGTTCCCGAGGGTGGCGGCTTTTTTGGAGGAGATTCAACAATGTTTGACTTTGATTTTGTTTTCTGACCTCTCTGAATTTTATTTATTTATTTTAATTTTTTTCCTTGTCTACAGACTCTGGAAACCCGGCGCCAGAGGAGACTGTAATCCAGAACCCAGCAGCAGACGCACCCACGGCCTACGCATCCTACTACGACGACAACAACAACAACCCAGAAGAACCCGGTCCAGCCATTGACATCCCAAAGGCAACCCTGCCACTGTCTTCAGACCCCGAATCCAATGCCCTCAACGAAATCAACGTCGATGCCAGACGATTCGCAGCGAGACGCGGCGCAATGAATCCTCAAGCACCCAGACGATCCCGACCACGGCAAAGAATTCCGCAAAGGAGGAAGATTGGAAGGAGAAACAAAACAGTGTCGAGGGGGAGGAAGGTCCAGAGGAATAATTTCCGACCGCAAAGAAGAAATACTGTGGTACGTCAAAGGCAGAAAGTGCAGAAAAAGGCAGAGATGAATTTCTTTCAGAGGATGTTGCAAAAAATACGGCGGATGGGCTGAAGGGGATTTAAGGGCTGGGAAATAAAACACAGTTTCTTTCTTTTTCATTGGTACAGTACAGTATTAAAAAAAATCCAATTTTCTAAAATTGATACTTTCTTGGGTTTTGAGAAAGTGTCTTCGTAATGTAATAACTATTCTACACTGTAGTGAAGATCTCTTCTGAAACATCAGAAGAACAACCCCGATTTTCTAGAACGGGAGTTTCCAAATATGTTTTCAGAAAATTCATAACTGATATACATCTTGAAAAAGTCAATAATTGGCCTTATTTAATGACAGAAGTCCATCTACAGCCCTTGAATTTAGATCATATTGTGCACAATCTTGCCAATTTTTGCAAACCCTTTTCTTGCATCTTAAAATATACATACCGTATTTACTTGAGTACCATGCGCCCTTGAGTAAGGCATGCACAGGGGTTTTCAGTTGGAAATTTGGCTAAAATCTTATACCCAAGTAAGATGCGCACCCCAATCTTTTGTGAATCTAAAACCACAAAATTTTGAAAAAAAATTCAAAAAAGTTGACTTTAGACGTGAATTGAACAAAAATGGATCAATTTTCAACTTTTTCAGTAAAAAAAAGTTTTCTTGTTACATTTGTTTGAAATTTCTCCATTTTAATTAAGTATAATGCACACATAACTTCCTAAGACTTCTTGAAAGTTTTGTACCCACTTATGACGAGCACCCCTTTTTTTCTTCTGAAATTTGAGAAAAAAGGTGCGCGTGGTACTTGAGTAAATACGGTATACTGTACAATCAAACCTCTGTTGAATTTCAAGGGACCAGGAAAAATATTCATTTTTAGGGAGCTTTTGATTTTGGGAGGTTTTGAGTTAAGGAAACAAACATTTTTGTTGCAAAAAATAATTGCAGGAAATTGTAAATGAGGATATTCTGGGCCATAACTTGCTTCTTAATGAGTTTACAACATGCTGAAATTGGAGGTAGGGGTTCATTTGCTCAATTAGTTTTTCACTTCCTTTCATGATGCATCAAATCCCTTGTTTTATAGTTTTTCTTGCTCATTTTCAAGGAAATAATAACCAGAAGGCCTCAGAAAATTTGACTTAAACAGGTTTGAGAAAGAGAAAGACTTCAATTTAGTGAGGTTTTTAATGCATTGTTTCTAATGGAATTCATATGGGGGCTTCAAAAAATTTGACCTGATGAGGTATTGAGAGGTTTGACTTATCAAGATTCAACTGTAGCATATAAATATAAAAAAGTGGTCACCAATTGCAAAAATGTATCCTTCATCACTTGAGCCAATTGAATGAAACCAAAAATAAAAATAAAATAAAACCAGCCTCTTCAGAACATTGACACACAAAATATGTAAATTCACTCACCACATTCTTAATTTTTGGAGGGGCTTCAGAGGCTGTGTGGTTATGATTCGCCGCCGAGAAAATGGCCTCATAGAAAAACTTGTTCTCCTTCAAATTGATCGCACCCTTCACTTTACACTCCACACCTGCCACCTTGTAATGACTGCAACGCGTGAGTCGCACATACGGATCATACATGTACCACATGTACTCCTCAAACTCAAACCCATCCACTTCAATGACCCTGTACTGAGACTTGAATCGCTTGATGACAAAGTCTCTAGGGTTCTGGTACGCAGGGTTCTCCATAGACCAGGCTTTCCAGGTGTTGGCAGGCTTATCTAGATAGTCGTGATCCAGAGCGTCGTTTCCTTCGTTGGGGCAATTTTCCAGAGACACTCGAGACAGTTCGGCATCCAGCACAGCTTCAAACTCGACTCGCCTTTCTATAGCTCTTTTCCCACGGGACTGACTGGAAAGTGGCGATTTCGACACTTCTTCAACGTCAATCGGGGTCATTTTCCGTGGGTCCTTTTTGGCTCCTAAAACCAGTCTAGGTTTGCTCCGAACCTTGGTTAGTTTATCAGAGACATCCTTGATTTCTCTGGTGGAAATATTTCTCGCTTTTTCGGGTTCTGTGGGCTGTGGTTTCAGACTGTCGCCGAGGACCGTTAAATGTCGCATGTCCGGAGAACCAAAGAATTCCTGCGGCGAATGAACCTCGCGTTTTTTATTATGAGCACTTTTCAACTGGAATCTGAGGTCTTCTAAAAATGAAGATTGACGCGACTCGGCAGGGCGCCGATCAGCGGAGTTTTCCACGTGTTCTTCCTTGGTTGGTACAGGTGTCGCTACTACATCCACTTTCCGGACGACCCATGCTGGTTTGTCGCCACCAGGAGAGCTGGGGTCATTTGACGAGGATGAAAGTTTCTTCAGCTTCATGACCTTGGCTTTGATGACACTAGAAGCTGATTGAGTCACTGATGAGTCCTTGGCTATCGCTGGCTTGGTTGAGGATATCTGGCGACTTCTGGAGTCGGCTTTTGATCCGGATAAAACAGTGGAGATTTTGAGCTGCTTTTTTGGGACTGAGGAGCGAATTTCTTCCACCGAATCTCGCTTTGCCGACACCTCCGTAACATCCCAAGATACTTCCTGCGAAAAACAAAGATGAGGGTTCACATCACAGGATCAATTCTCAGCACGCGCACACAACAACAAGTATCTAAATAAGAGAAGATGCACAAAATAGCAAGAATAACAAAAGCAAAAAATCAAAAATCACAGGCATGATACGAGCAAGGCTCGTATCATGCGTACAGTACACCAGCATTAAAAGCTGAAGAAAAAAAAAAACGAAAATACTGTACTCGAACAGCTTTGAAAAGACCGAGGATTAATTAGGAGCAGGGATTATTCAATAGTTCGATTGCAAGGCATCAAAACGTCAAGTATCAAGATTTTTAGATTTCAATTTATTATCTTTAAATCACGTCAATATAAATTGGCGAGACATCAATTTTTCACCAGCTTTGCTCTCTCGGTACACACTCTTTCTTGATAAAGAATTACTTCGTCACAACAAAATTACTGGGACCAGGACAATAAATTCGTTTCACTTAAATTCATATGACACTGTAGCATTTGGGCAGAGACAAAAACAAAATAATTCCCTGTAACCAATAATTTGTTAGTGGACGCTTCGCCGGTTCTCTTTACCTGAATACGGCCTTACTTCATCTATCCTCCAAAGAGCCACCAGCTTCAGTCTTTCTTCATCAACCGTGGAAGAAGGTTCCTCAACCTTTTTCCACGGCATCTCTCCAATAAGGCGTTGTCCCAAGGTCGCGGGCAATCGGCACGCCGATACGGCGTTCCCCTTTTTTTCTTGCGCGCGGTCTTGGGATTTCTGCCCCAAAAAAAAAAAAAAAAAAAAGTGTATGAATCGGAAAATTTTCATCTCTCTTTCTTGCATCACAGAGTGACATGTTGTTCGTTGATGATGATGATCAACCCCCATCTCCCATATCACATGAGGAGGTGGGTGATGCACAAAGTGAAAGAGACAGTGAACATCACATTTCTGATTTCACCTCTGGATCTGCCCCAATCGACCAATCTGCAGACCAGGATCACCTTAGTAAGTCCCTCCACCCAATTGTGATTAGGCCATCAGTGATTTTTAAAATTCTCCAATGCCCCATGGTTTAAAAAATACTGAGCAGATATATTTTTTCTTTATCTTGCTCTCAATGCCCAGTGGTTTAAATCCACCGGTTGGCTCTCCCACTTTGGGGAAAAGTTGAATGGCCCTTTTCGTGCTCCTGATTTATATCAGTGTAGCTTTGGCTTTGTGGTGGGCTGGAATTTTAAGAGCTCAATTTTTTCTTTTTAGCTCTTGAACCACCTCCTAAGCGTCAACGGTTGGTTGAAGCCTCCACTGACGCTAGCGAGTTCGCAGAACTCGAAGCAGAACTCTTACCCAAACCACTGGGTCCCACACTGTGCAAAAGTGTTTGTCGGCATCAGGAACTCTTTTTCATGGAGCCTTTCATCTCATCAACCCTTCTGCCTACCTTTTTGGAAGAAAGTGAAAAATCCTTTCCTCAACCTGTCAACACTGCGGTTGGAGTTGTCCCCCGCACAAATGCACCAATTTTTAAAAATTTACCAGCAGTGCACCAACAATTGGACGCCAATTTTCAAAAAGTCCAAAGATCCATCTCTGTTACCCATAAAGCTCTGGTGGATCTTTTGAATGATGTCAAATCCATTCCTGAGCTTTGCAAGAAAATCTCAACAACTATGAAGCTTAATGCTTCAGCTTACCTCATGGTTGCAGACCATCGACGAAAGTCAATAGCTAGGGGACTTTGTCTCCAACATCCTCCGCTTGCCACCTCCTTGAAGGCTGGCCAGTTCACTTGCGAAGTCTATGATGAACAACTGGTTAATCTTTCCGACAAGGCCTTGTTGGACACTGTTGCTACTGCAACAATTCAAGAAGCAACACTCAGATCTGCAATAAAAGCAGCTAAAGGCCTTAATCAATCTCAAACAAGAGGGGGAGGCCAGATAAACTCCTGGGGAAGCCAGACGGAACTCCTTCAGAGGCAACCGTGGTGGTTCCAATTCCTACCACGGTAATAATTCCGCTGGTTATAGTGGCTCCCGTTTGCCAAGAAATGATCAGTCTTCAAGACCAGGCCAGTCTTTTTTAGTCGATGGCCGCAACAAAAACAATCGGCATCGGGAACAGACTCGGGAATCTTGGGGCAATCAGAATACCCCCCGGAGATACAGCCGTCGAACTTAATCAGGCTGTCTTCCTTAAAATCTCCATCAAATCTTCAGGTTAGTTGGCCTCTTGGAGGTCGCTTAAGACATTTCCTACCCTTTTGGAGGGAAAATATTACTCAGAACCCTTGGATTTTGAAGCTGGTTATGGGAGCAAAGGTTGATTTCTTCTCCTCTCCCACTCCAGACCTCTCTTCTTCAAATCCTAGACCTAAGAGTCAGGAAGAAATTCTGGCCATTTCTAATTTAGTATCTGATTTGGTTCAGATGGGTGCTGTAATCCAGTGCAACCTCCCTCCTGGTGCAGTTCTAAATCCCATTTTTGCAGTAAGAAGTCACAATTCCTACAGGCTAATTTTAAATAGCAAAAGGGTTAATGAAGCCTGTGTCAAGAAGATCCATTTCAAAATGGAGACCCTTCAAATTGTTTTGAATTGTATTCAAAAAGGAGATTGGATGTCCTCACTTGATCTTGTTAAAGGCTTCCATCATGTCCCCCTTCATCCTGAGCACCAAAAATTCTTCATGTTCTCCTGGAAAAACAAATTTTATCGTTTTGTTTGCCTCCCCATGGGTTTGAGGGAGGCTCCGAGAATTTTCACAGTTATTATGAAGGCTTTACTGACCCCTTTGAGGTCTAAAGGGTTCAGAGTTTTCTCTTATATAGATGATACTCTGATTTCAGCTCCTTCATTGGCTCAGGCTACTTCACATACTTTTGAAGTTTGTGCTTTCTTTGAAAAGGCTGGTTTTGTGGTGCATCAAGAAAAATTGGTTCTCATCCCTTCCCAAAGAATAAAATTTCTGGGATTTATTGTGGACTCAGAATTAATGGTTCTTGAGCTTCCAAAGGAAAAGTGGAAACGCCTCAAAGCTGATCTACTTACTTTGCAAAAACATCTTCTGAAGAACACACCCATGCAACTGCGAAAATTTGCGAAAATTCTAGGTTTTCTCCTCAGTTGCACCCCCGCCATTCCCTATGCTCAGGGTCACTTCAGATTTTTCGAGCAAGCAAAGCAAGACGCACTTAAATCAGGGCTTTCTTGGGAAAATTCCTTTTCTCTCCCTCATTATCTCCAAGACGATCTCAATTGGTGGTTAATGTTGTCTCCCCCTCTCAGAAAATCTTTTTCTCAGAAACTTATTACCCACACCATTACTACCGATGCTTCTACATCGGGTGGGTGGGGCGCAATTTGCGCTTCTTCAAAAGTTGCCAGAGTATGGCAAAATTCTGCAGACAATCGAATAGAACTCCTGGAATTAAAAGCAGTTTGCCTTGCCCTTCATACCCTTCCCTTTTCTTGGAACCATGTCAACATTAGACTTTGTGTCGACAACACTGTGGCTATTAGTTATATTAATAACTATGGTGGAAAAATAAAATCCCTCAACTCTGAAGCCAGAAATCTTTGGAAATTTCTAGAAACACACCAAGCTACAGCATTCGCAGTCTACATCCCCTCAAGGGATAATCCTGCCGATATTTTATCCAGAACTCTCTCTTCACAAGAGGCTCTTAATCTAGATGCGGAATGGCAAATTAAACCTGCTATTTTCCAGGAAATTTGCAACAAATTCGACTTTATTCCTCATATCGACTGGTTTGCATCTTCTCTTAATGCCCAGCTGCCTCTTTATGCCTCCCGGTTCTATGAACCCCAAGCATCAGAAATTGATGCTTTTGATTCTTTTTGGGGTTTAACTAATGGTTACTTTTTTCCTCCCTTTTGTGTCTTACACAGGGTGATTGCAAAAATTATTCAAGACAATGCGACAGCCATTCTTGTTCATCCGACATGGCCTTCGCAAATGTGGTGGCCTCTGCTGATACATCATCGACATGCCTTTCTCAACCTGCCCAGAGCTGCAGAAAGTCTTCGTCTTCCTCAACACCCCCACCTTGTCCATCGTCTCCTGAATATGCCTCTGCAATGTTCAGTCTTTTTCCCCCAATAAAGGGTGCATCTCAGGCTGTTCAAAAGACTATCAGGGCATCTCTAGCGCCCACTACAACTAAACTTTATGATTCTTTTACCTCCTGCTTTGGGAAATTTCTTCTAGACAGAAATCTTCATCTCGATTCTGTCAACACCTTGACCATTCTTGAATTTCTAAGTCCCTTTGCTTCCAAAAAATACTCATATTCCTATGTCCGCACTCTTCAGAGTGCTTTGATCAAAGCCATTTCTCTTCGCAGACCTGATTTTTCCCTGGATAATACCCTCATGAAGCAGTTCATGACAGGAGCAAAGAACTCCTGTAGAATTTTCACCCGGAAGGAGGTGACCTGGGACGCTCAAATCATTATTGACTTTTTAGCCTCCCAACCTTTTCCATCTTCCAGTGCTAGACTAGCTCAAGAGACTTTAACAATCCTAGCCTTGGCATCTGGGGCCAGAGTCGATGATCTCTGGAAGATGGGGGCAGCCGTTTTTCCTCAAGGTAGGGGATTCTTCATCCCTTTCCTTGAGCATCAAAAAACATCAAGATCTGCTCCAAATCCCCATTCAGGGGTTACTGTAACCTCTTTTCCTAATACCCGCATCTGTCCAGTTCATCTTATTCAACAATACCTCGAGCTTACTGCTGTCTTTCCATCTCGCTCTAATTTTCTTTTTGTTCGTTCTGACAATGGGGAGAGAGTCAAAAAGTCAACTCTCCAATCATGGCTCTTATCCACTCTAGAAAGAGCAGGCATCATATCCTCCCCAGGCTCTACCAGAGCTGCTGCGGCAAGCTTTGCAAATGCCAACAATCTGTCTTTCAATCAGATTGCTCAAATGACGGGTTGGTTAAAGCAATCCACCTTCAGTATACATTACAAGAGAACTATTGTCTCTCAAGGTGGAAACCTCATGTACAAAAATACATGACATTGTACTCCCATTTATGCATTTCATTTCATTGAAACGCCTTTTTATGATTTTGTGATGGTGACCATGATATCGCATTTGGGTTTTTGTGTGTTTACTTCTATGTATTGTCATCATGTACTACACTGGTATTGGACACAACATATGCTTGCATTTTATGCCATGTCATGTCCTTGTATTGGGAGATTCCTTTTGGGTCTCTCACTTCTTCTACCGGTTGATGCACTTCAGTCGCTCAAGCCGGTTCTAAAAATTCAGGTAAAGAGAACCGGCGAAGCGTCCACTAACAAGGTCCCAGTCCAACATAGTGTCAGACTGGGATGTGTTAGTGTTAGCGAGACGGTTCTCTTTACCTGAACCCCACCCTCTAAGCCACCCTGCAGCTGCAGACAGCTTTCACTCCTTTGTGGTTTCTGAACACTGAAGCTGGTGGCTCTTTGGAGGATAGATGAAGTAAGGCCGTATTCAGGTAAAGAGAACTGTCTCGCTAACACTAACACATCCCAGTCTGACACTATGTTGGACTGGGACCTTGTTTGTACAGGGTTCGTTTTAATGAAAATTAATCGTGCAAAATGTTATGCACGAACAATCGAAGTCCGTTTCAAGTTACTGGATTCATGACACAAAATCACACTTTCAATAAAAATCCTCACACAATTTGGACAATACTAGAAGAATTTAAGGCATCAACAAAACAATTTTTTTTTACATTCTGAATGGTAAAAATTTAAAATTCTCCACTAAAATGAGAAATTCCTTTGAAAATAAATCTTTGTGAATATTTCACTGTAAATGCGGATTAAATAATCTGATCTGGTAGCAACACACATATGCAAAAAGAATTATTTCATTACGCTATTTGAAAATAAATAATTTGCTGATTTTTTTTCATCAGATTATAAAATAAAAGCATAAGAAAAAGAAATGCGCGAATACACATTTCAAGATCACATCACACAACTGACACAAAGTTGAAAGCGTTTTTTTTTTTACTCCCATTTACTTTTTTCAGTATATATATATTTTTTTTAATTCCTTCTGTCCCAGGCAACTCGAAGGGACGTGAGATGAAATAAAATAAAATGAAGAAATAACGGCACTCACTTCCTGGAATTTCCGTTTCTGCGAAGTTTTCGTTTCAACGCCAGTCAATTTTTCCACAGATTTCCTTTCTTCCGCCGCGCTTTTTTCAAAGTCCGGTTCCGCTACCGAAAAACGCGCCTTTTCGGCAAACAACTCTTGGCAAACTTTCACTTTCGTTTGAAAGGCTACCATCAAAGTGTCGCAAATGACGACTAATGCCAAACACCGGTCACACATTTCCGCATCCGAGCCTTCAGGAACCGAGTCCTCGTTTGAAAGCACGTGTTCGGTCATGAACTGTTGGGGATCCGAGAACCATTTCAAGGGTCTTTCGCGCACCGAACTTTCGCTTTTTTCGGATATCACCGCACCACACAAAAAGCAATCCCGATTCTCCATTTGAACGTATCCTGAAAGAGAAGGAGAAAATTGGAGAAAATGAAAAAAATTCCCAAAGAAATCATAAAAGAAACATCGAACCAAACTCCGAAAACTGTTTTTGAAGCGATTTTGCAATCTAACAGTTGAGGGCGCCTCACAAGAACGTGTCAAAACTTTATTCGAAAAAATATAATCGAGTATTTTATTCTCCACGTCCTCTATTTCAAATAAATAAAATACTTCATGAAAAACCAAATTTCCTCAAAAAAAGCATAAAAGAATTTTTAGATTTAACTTGAATACGCTGAAAATCACATTTTTTTCGTGGAATATCAGAATAAAATGTAACACATTAAAAAATGCGTCATTGCATGACGCTGAAATATGAAGTTCACAGAAGTAAGAGATTCGTCCAGAAAATTTAGACAGCCGTTTTTCATGATCACTAATTAGCACACGCTATTATGAGAACGCGCCATTCTGGTAGTTACGAACGAAAGTTTCAATCAAAACTTGACAAAACATCGCCAGCACATACACAGACTTCTGATCAGACCAATTGCACATCACAGAGGGGTTAGAAGTATAAAATCTACAAGGTGATTCTTTCAAAAACGAACACAATTCGTGCAAAAAGATACTTTCTAATATTCAGGATACAGTATTTATAAATACTGTATCAAGTCTCTAAAATTGGAATCCTGACCAAATGCATTTCTCCCGTTGCAGGAAAGCAATCGAGCAAAAATTAATTTCCAGTATCAGATTCCTCAAGACATTTCCAAAAACGTGAGGGATTCACGCAGGAATACTTCAAGGCACAACGAGCAAAAAATAATCAATGCGATACGTGGCTTAGGAAAAAATTTGCGGTTACTACAAAAGTACACAAATTTTTTTTTTTTAAACACAGCCGAGAATAAATTGATATAATTTCTCGTAATAATACTTTAAATTCCCAAAAAAATTTTTATTCCTACACGTCTTGCGTGATCGACCATAAAAAGATCGTCAGCGTTGATTTTATCCCCGAGGAAAACTTTAAAAAGGCGACCACGACAAAATTTCCAACCTAACGCAAATAAATTTTCAGTGCTCTAAAAAAAATAAAATTCGTTATGAAATCGGCTCTGAAATCTGAATGGTAATCAACTGAACCCCTTCGTTGTCCATCAATGGGTACTCGTAAAGCTCTTGACTCTGCACGTTTTTGTGCACCATCGTCGTGGCTCCTCCGGAATCACTGGGAGGCTTCACGTATGGTTTGATGTTTCTAGCCGCCACCACAATCCCGTGGGTCGATTTCAAGTGGTCTCGAAAGCCATTTTTCTCTCTTTCCAACGTACCACACATGATGCACTTTAGCCCTTCTCTCGACTGCTGAGCGTAATCCCACCTTCAGTCAAAAATAATACTGTATCAAAAATCATTCATTAAAGAACCATTTCAAAACAATATGCGGTAACACAACACAAATCTGTAAAAATATCGCGTGGCCAGGAACATTTTAATTCTTAGCATTCTCAATGATTTTCCTCGTCATAGAGGAAGATGGGGAAATTGCCAGAAAAGGAACAAAAACAGTGGGGGACCCAGATTTGCGAACAATTCGACAGTTTAAACTCGCGCAATCTTTCCCAAATCCAGAAAATGCCTCAAAATATGGAGGCTTTTCCAATTTTTCACAATTCTGATACCTCTTCAACAAACAATATTTCCATGCACAAAAATTATTCATAAAATCTGTATTAAAAAGGCAATTCGATTCATCATGCAAAATAAGCCAATTCTGTCCTTCTCTTCGTGATTTTTCCATAAGCTTCTCTGAGGATAAATATTTGTTTGCTTGTTTGAATTCTTTTCTTTTTAAAAATGACTTCGCACAGTATTTTTTAAACATCTCGAAGTTGAGAAAAGCATTTTATTCAATTTTTGGAGGGCTTTGCTCAATTTTTTCTCGAACAGTGATTAGAAATGTTCCCATTCTTCCTTCCTTTATTCTTTCTCTTCACAGTGAACCCTAATCGAAACCCACGAGAAAAAAAAAATAGAGAATGCCTCACCCATGAGCTCCTTTCCAATGAGCCCGCAACCCGAGTCTCGTGGGGAAATTGACTTTGCAGTAAGTGCACGGGTTCGAGCCTAGCCCGTCGCGCAAATCGTCACCGTGATGTCGACGTCGATGATTGCTGTACAAACTGCGTCTATCATAGCGTTTCCCGCAGTCCTCGCAAACGTGGAATTTGCGTTTCGGTCGCGGAATGTCTATTCCGTGCACTAGGCGCAAATGCATCAACATCTTGTGCGCAGTTGTCTCGTATTCGCCGCAATGCTCGCACTTCCGGAATGCCTTCAGGGTACGAACAAAAAAATCCACAATACATTCGCCGGGATATTCAAAAATCGAAGGTGTGGTACGAAGTAGGTCCCCGAATTTCGGAACACCTTGAAGTCTAGAAAATTCAACAGCCGGACCTTTAAAAAAAAAATCTTTCGACATTTCTTCAAGTTCCGGACAGTGTGCCAGTAAATGTTATCCCCATAAACAAATAGATTCGAAAATAACTTTGAACAAAATGGAACGAATTGTGTTCGAAGCTCAGGATACCACAGCAGAACTTGAAGAGAGGATTTTGAGCATTCTTTGGAAAGTAAGAAAAGTTTCTGCGTTCTGGTCGATTAAAAATTGCCTTTCTCAAAAAAAGAAGTTTTAATACAATATTCGATGATGATTTAAATTGAATAAAAAAATTTTAAAGACAGGGATCTATTCCAAAGAAACCCTTCTTCCGGTATTGAAAAACATTATGCAGCTCGAGTAGACTTTTTTTGTGCAAAAATTAAACATAAAAATTATATGTCCTGAGATAAATGTCTTCATGCACTACGATTACTCCAATTAATGTATATTTGCTGGGATTTCATTCCTTTGAAAATATTTCGGACTTCATCGTGCAAAAAATTGAGAAACAAAATTTCGGAATTAATCCCTCAAAAAAATCCACATTTGAATCAAAATTATGCTGAAATGTCGGAAATACGAGCCAAATGTCGCTTCCAAAAAGTAAAAATCTTTCTTTTTTTAAATGGCAGCCCAACCGCAGAACTTTTACCAGTTCCTCATCATTACATGAAACGAACGGTAAAAAATATCCCAGCTTCCAAAACACTTGAAAAATCCGATCCCAAGTCTCACCGGCTTTTCGTGAACGCTGACCATATGATCCTTCAGGGCCTTGGAGTTGAATAATTCCCCGCACTCAGGGCACAATTTTTTGCCATTCAACGGTTTATGGGCCACGGAGTTGTGATAATAATACCTGAAACAAAATCAAGGGATCTCAAAATACGAAGATTAAATTATCATACAGCACAGTATTTGTGATATCGCCATTTTCTACTGCGTTTTGAAATACGAGAGCCGGTCTAGGAAATAGTCCAACAGTCCGTCCATGGGTTAAACCTTCAGACAAATATCAGCTTCCGAATTCTAATATTTTCAGAAAAGAAATTATTATATTATCATATTTACTCAAGTGCCACGTGCCCTCAAGGCATGCACCTGCATTTTGGATGAAAACGTATCCCCGAGTAAGACGTGCACCCCAGACCGAAAATTGAAATACTGTACAGTACTTCAAAAATAAAATATATCAGGATTAAAATTTTGACTAGAATCGAAATAAAATCAAATTTAGATTTTTTGTTTTTCTATTTTAAATTGTGCTTTAAAATTGGTCAAAAATTCCCTGTTGGAACCAATTATGAAAAGTACTGAAGCAATAAAAATCTTCAAAATGATTTTCCTGCCAATGACGCGCACCCTCTTTTTTCCCTTTTAATTTTGAAAAACAGAAAGTTTGAAAAATTTGAAAGAAAGGAATATTAATATGATACATTTATTAAATGTTGATAATAAAACATACTGTATCAAATTTCATCAAGAAATGACTTACTTGTGCATGGTGTCAAAATTAACGCCGCACTGCTCACAAGAATAATTCTTCCCACTGCGGTTGTGAAACTGGCGTCTGTGAACTTTCATGGCAGTCCACGAAGAAAACCGTTGGGCACAAATTTCGCACTCGAACGCTTCATCTTCTCCCGGATGAGCTTGCATCCGGTGCAACCGGAACTTGGACATGCTTTCCACCCTGAAGCTGCAGCCTGGACACTTCAACAACTTCAAGCCCATGGCTTCCCGCTCGACCTCCGTCCTTCCGATCTTGCCGAAATGTTTTGAATGGATGTGAGAGTTGAGCGAATTTTTTTGCATCGTCAATCGACAAGAAATGCAGGTGATTTTGTCCACCATTTCCAAATAGTGCAATTGAACGTGTTCCGATAGTTCAAGTAAAGCCGTAAAGCTTCGGCCGCATTCGAAACAGGCGAGACCGTTCGGAAGAGAGTGACTTTCCTGATAATGACGGAAAAGCGTATGCTGGAATTTTGTGGAATAATCGCATTCTTCGCATTGCAAAGGACGTTTTGCAGAGTCGTTCGAGATCCGACTGCTCACCAACCTCTTCTCTAACCGTTCCTTTCTCAACGCCTGCGAAAACAAATAATATTTTGTAAGTTGTCTAAATATTCAGACGAAAAATGAAGCAATTTGCAAAGAAACAATGTGCAGAATAAAAACAAATGTGCCCTTTTGGCATGAAAAGGAGTCCAACATGGATAAATTCAGCAAACATCTTGCTAAAACGAACAGTATACAGATAATGGAATAAACAATACAAAGAGTCAAAGAAAATCAGTCTATTTTCGGATTTTGAATTTATGAGATGTATTTTGAATTTTCGTGAATATTAAGTAGCGCACTTCGATCAGGATACCAAAAACGTGAAAAAACAAAAATATTCCATTGTTCTAAAAATCTACTCAAAGATTATCTTTCTTTTAAATATTTTTTATTTTTACCAAATCATCACTTAACGCCGGATTTTTCCTCTACACATTCAACTTTCAGGGACGTCAAACACAGCGAATGTCTTACCCTAGGCCGATTTCCCAAAGAAACATTGAAAGTCGGATCAGCATGGTTGTGATTGTCACCATTGAAGGGAATTTTGTAGAAGAATTTTCCCTCTTCCAAATTGACAGCTCCCCAAACTTTGCAGCGCACTTCGGGATTCCAGTAGTGACTGCAGCGAACAATCCGCACATTCGCATTCTCTCGCCCATTTTTCGTCCACTCAAACGAATAACCATCAATCACATACACGGGCTTTCCGGTCGAGGAATTAATTCCCGATTCTTTGAACGGCTTCGATTCACGGTGTACAGGGTTTTTCGTTGACCAGAACGGGATTTTGGATGAAGGACGCGTCTCAGAAAATTGAACACTGTCTTCTTCGATTGATTTGAACTCATGCATGGGATCCAGTTCGCAAGGTTTCTCAAGTTCCTCTTCCTCGATTGTTTCTTGAACCAAGTTGCTCAAGTTTAACATTAGTTCGGCTTCTGTTGAGGAGTTGAGAACTTCCATTGAATCACACGGCGACATTTTCTGTACTTGATCACATCGCTCCTCAACTGAGTAAGCCTGAAAATTCAACATATTTCTCAAGAAATGAGATTCAACTTAAAATGAGTTTATTTCGCAAACATTGAGGCACCAAGTGAGTCTAAAAATAGTCAAATCAAGGAATTCAAAAGCGTTATTTCATTTGCGAACGGACAATTCAACGAAAACTGAAGGAGAATTTTCCACACCTTGACGATAAATTAACCCAGCACAAATAATGTACAACATTTTCATTTAAAAAAACCACTGTACTCAGAGAAGAAATTTCAGACAATTCTTCCGACGTCAATTCAAAGTCAAAATATGTCTTATTACATAACCAATCGTCGAAGTCACTGCATGTGGAAAAAGTAACAAGACACGGTAATATTCTAACCTCTCGTTGTACATCCGTGCTGACCTGATGACGATGTAGATTTTTGCAGATCTCAATTTTCTGCAACGCAGCGAACATGAGATTATCACTGACGATGACGAGTGCCAGACATCTGCCACACAAATGATCTCCGTCGATGAATTCACTCAGCGACGTTTCCACGATTTCGTAGAGCGTTAAAAACAGCCTCGTGGACTCACAAGATTTCAGAGGCATTCTCAGCGCGGAAGAAGAACCACTTGCCACATCACACATGCATATCACACAACGGGATCGATTCATATTCAACACTCCGAATTCCTGCGCAAAAAAAAAAGAAACACGCCAAATGTGGATTAAAATAGCGGACCGCATTTTAGAACACAGTTCTACTTCGCAAAGATGAATCAAATTCCTCAAGTAGACTTCAAAAATGGGAAAGATCATCGCATGAATAACATATCATAAGGTGTCAAATACAAGTCACGTACAAAAATTCCTCCGAATTTATTTTCCAGGGAATGTAATCGTGCGACATCTGTACGAAGCAAACATCAAAAACGCATTGGAATTCCTAAAGTATCACTTGCTCTGCCGGAAAACAGCGCTAGGTTTTCATCATTGCTTTTCAATTCCGACCGTTGAATCTTGGGCTGAATTTTTCGGGATTTCGACCGAGAAATCCGGTTTCACTTTTCCATTTTCAAAGCCTTTCGTTTGACATCGTTCCCACGGGGTCAACCATCGCGTGAAACCTTTTCGATGCGCTTTCCTTCTTCTTCTTCTTTTTGTGTTTTCAAAAATACGCGATTGAAATTTCCAATATCATCAGAAAAGTCATCTCACGTCAGTTTTCATCTCGCCCATTCGAAACAACTTCGCAGGAGGCTTCATGAACTGCTTCAAAGTCCTAGTCGAGACTTGAATGTTGTGTGCGCCGCGCAAATGCCGCAAAAACTCGTGTTTCTCCCTCGCTCTCGCCGAACAAATCCTGCATTCAATGCCTTCTTTCAGCTGAATCGCGTACTCGAATCCGTGCACTCCGCGTAGGTGATATCGCAGAGAATCTTTCGAGCCGAAAACTTTCATGCAAAGTTCGCAGGGTTGAGTGTCGATTTGCATGGTGGAGTCGCCGTGGACCCGTCGACGGTGGTTCAAACAGTCCGACACTTTCTTGTATTGCTTACCGCAATCCTCGCAATACGCTTCTTTGGGCGGCGATCGACTGAGCTTCGGCACTTGCCGGCCGTGGATTTCGACGGAATGTCGCACGAGAAGGCGGTGAGCAGTGAAACTTTCTCCGCACTCGTCGCATGCGATGGTTGCCTAAAATTCAAAGGATTCAACGAAAATGCAATCGAAGTTTTTCGTAAGCCTTCGAAATAAAATAAATAGACTAGAAGGAGAAAGTGCATCTTCTGTAAATTCTGAAGAAGACAAGCTAAACTTTTTTTTCATACCATTCCGATCATACTTCCAGAAATGAAACAATACTGTGATTTCCCTCATGATGAAACTTACCATATTCTGGAAGCGGTTCGTTGTACATTTTCCTGATTCAAACACATTTTCCCCCCAAGATCACATTTAAATGATTCAACTTGAAACAGAAACTCATCGAAAAATCATAAAATTTGTGCATTATCCAGCATAAAATAGTGAATTTGAAACTCGGAATACAGTAATACCTTACTGAGAGTCCCCACATAACGAAACTAATCCATTTCGTCATCTGGAATTTTCCTAATGCGAAACCAGCTTTCCCTCAAGATCACATTTTAAATATTTAATTAGTTTCAGAAACTCATAAAAAAACCCTAAAATTTTGCGTTTTCAGCATAAATCAATGCATTTAAAATTCGATTCGTATGAACTTCGAAAGATTCTGACAAATTTTATCTCTTAAATTTCTGAATTTTGAAGATAAGGATAAGCAATAGTTAGCCATTCGTTCATCATTTGCTTCAAATTTTCAAAAAAACCAAAGACTCAATTCAAAATTCAATAACATTCCAACATTTTTGGATCTACAAATTTCGTCAGGTGAAACAGTGCCGCCATGTGAATCACTTTTATTGCCCCTGAAAACTTAGGCGATGTGACATTTTCATTCCAAAGGCCATTCAAAATGCGGATATCCACTGTAAATAATAGCGAAGTAAACAATACAAACGTAGGTACATCTAAACTTTAATGCTCCTGCTTTCGGGTTAATAGAAAACGTGAATAAAAGCAGAAACTTTATTGGGACAAAATCAGAAATAAAGAAACCAACAAAATCAATATCTCACCTTTTCCTGCGAATCTTGCGTGACCAGGTCTTCTTGCACTGGATCGGAAACACACCTCTTCTGCGCAACGTCTCCCACACATCCGTTATTGTATTCAAGAAGCATGAAATCTTTCACTTCAGTCTCAATCATCAGCGGGAAAGCACTTCCAGCTTCGACGGCCATCGGATTTTCAATCACTCCGTTGTTCCCTCGGTATTCATTCGGCGGTTCCTCGGAAAGCAAAGAAGTCGCACGACTCGTCGCTACTTTCGTAGTCAAGGCGAATAGTTTAATTCGCGTCATTTCCATCAATTCGTCGATGATCGAAACGTTGACGAAACATTTATCGCAGATTCCCATGGACGACGACTGTAACGCGTCCGGATCCGCGACACGATTCTCCGCCAAAAACGCCCGAACATTCGGCGCACTTTTCAAGCTTTCGTTCATTTTCTCCGACCCAACTACCGGCAATGAGACGGCACAAACGACGCACCACTTCCGCTTCATTCTTTTCTTTTTTTTCTCTGTCTGAAATAGAGAGTAGCAGAATTATTCCAGAAATAAATTTGAATAACGTTTAAAAATCACGGAAATACGGCAGCTCAGCGTCAAACAACGAACATTTCTTTCAAAATACTAAAATAATCAAACAGGTATCAGTTCAAAAAAGTGATGGAATAATCGACCGAGACGGGAAAAAAATAGGAAATAAGCACCAGGTGGACAATAAGCAACAGAAAAAAGGACCAGAATTCCGAACAAAATGGAAAAGAATCGAAGTATTTGGAAATGAGGATAAGGACGATTCGACGAAGACGTTACCCACAGAAATATAATCAGTAAAGGAAAGATTGTTTCCGACATATTAAGGTAGGCTGGATTTTCTCTGGTTCAGAAGAAGCAACGGAAAAACTTTCAAGAATAGTTCATTACAAATTTCAGTGATCACAGATGCCAAAATAAAGCAGGATAAATTAGTTGATCATCGTTATTCAGCTCAAGGGGCACTCATAAAATCCAAATAATAGAAATAAAAATTTTTAAAACAAATTAGCGTTAATCCTTTTGAAAAGATTAATTATTTTGCTTCAATTCGTAAAAATACGAAGGTTCGTTCCTACGCTTTGTACATATTTCTAATTTGATTGAAATGGAGAGACGTCAGAGTTGGAAAAGCATTCCATACAATTAAAGGAATACATTTTACTTGCAGCAATAATTTTTTTTTAAACCAAAGGCACTTCCAAAGCTGCATACAATTCAAAATTTTACTGCATCTGATCCTATTCACTTCGCAGTGCCGACAGAAATTTCGAACCACTCCTCGTACATATTTAGTCAAAACTTATTTCTGAGAAATTTAAAACCATTCAAATTAGAATAAAATCATCAGAAAGATGACTCTTAACTTCATAATGCTTCCGATAAAAGGCAGTAGTGTGTTTAGAAATGTCTTTCGGGTCTCTGGGGGCTATTCCCAGCATCAGCATAGAACTTGTCTCATTGAACTATTGTCAAGTACTTCCAAACCACTTTCTTCACTCATAACATTTGAACACCCGGTAGCTCCAGAAGGGGCGTGGATAACGTTCACAAAATCAGCTTCAAAAAGAAAAATAGTACAGGTGCAAATTCAAAAGAGTGGTCCCACACCTCGTATTTTCGCCATCTTTGTCGTTGTTGATGACAATAAACGTAGATCAGCGGAACAAATTTAAGAATGCCCCATCATATTCGCGATATTACGAATTCGAAAGTGAAAAAAAGTTTACTCAAACGGGACTCTCGAGTTGTAACAAGCTCGCAACAAAAATAGCAATACAGTAATAATAATAAAATCGGCGACTCAAATCTGCCAATCCATCAACGTTTCCTCTTTAATCTGGCGCACATTCCCCACCCTGGGCTCGGGCAGCTTGACGTAATCCCGAATCTGCTTAATCGGCACCTTAATCCCGTGCGAAGTGTGCAAATGGTCCCTGAACTCGTACTTCTCCTTGGCCGTGACCCCGCACAATTCGCACTCGATCCCTCGCTCAGCCTGCTCCACATAGTCCAGTCCGTGAATGTTTTTCTCGTGTTTCCGGCCAAGGTCACGGGTCGGGAAGATGTCGCCGCAAACGACGCAGGTGTGGGGTTTCCGGCCTTCCGGGGCCTGATCCCCGTGCATCTTGATCCGATGCGACACGAATTCTTCAACGTTGCGAAACGTTTTGCCGCAATCGACGCAGAGTCGCGGACTGCGCTTGATTTTCGTCTTTTTAATGCCGTGAACGCTTTCCTTGTGTTTGGAGAGCTCCCAGTCGGACGGCACGATGAGTCCGCAGTAATTGCACTTCTTTCGCATCTGGGGAAAAAAGAAAAAAGCACGCGCACAAAAAACATCAACGGAATTCACTAACATGTGAGATGTTTTCTTTCTTTCTTGAATCCTTTATAATAAAGTTACTTGCGTATTCCGTCCGTGCGTCAGGGTGAACGCAATCCCTCCCCACTTCTCCCTCTGCCTCCCTCCCACAGAGCCCCCAGCCAGGCCTGCAAGAGGGTCGCGTTTCCCGTTTTTTCAACTTTAAAAATTTGGCAAAAATTGAATTCTTATTGTAAATTTGATTTTCTTGAATTATAGAAGGTGCCATTCAATTTCCAACATTTTCTTTTTTTAAACACTTGAATAGAGTAAAAATTGACAGAGAAACAATGAAAAACGCAAAACGTTTTTTTAAAAACGTACGAAAAACGGGAAAAAAGATTTTACTTTTTGAATTTTATTTATTTCAATTATTGTCGTAATTCAATCAACAAAATTTTTAAATTTGTAAAACATCTGTGTAAATAAACCTGGCAAAAAGTTTTGAAATTCAATCAAAATTGAAAAAGTTTCAATGAGCTAAACTGAAAATCTTGAATTCCCATTTCTGGTTTCTTCATGTTTTTCTAATTCCCTAAATTTGCCAAAATTTCAATTTGCAACTGAATTTCAAATTTCTTTCAATGTTGCAAGTGCACAGATGTTTCCTAAATCTTCCTTTTAGAAATTTTGAAAAACCTCTAAAATTGGTCAAGTTTCAATCAAAAATGCAAAACCTTTTTCAAAAAACGGGGATAAATCGGGAAAAAGTACTTTTACATATTTGAAATTTAAATTTCCCATTTTGAACTTTGCTCATTGAAAAAATATGTAAATTTGAAGAACATCCATGCATGTATACCCCTTGAAAACTCTTCAAATTCCTTTCATACAAAAAAAGTTATGATAAGCCTAGGTGAACAAAACAGAATTTTTTGAAAATTCTGTTTCCCGTTTTTCCAACTTTAAAAATTAGGCAAAATTGCAATTCTCAAAAAAACTTACTTTTTAAAATTTTATAAGGAGCGCCATGCTATTTGCTACATTTTATTTTTTTTTAGCTTCCAAAAAATGTGAAAATTGACTGAAATAAAATGAAAAACGTAAAATCTTCTTTAAAAATTGTATGAAAATTGGCAAAAAAGATTTTATGATCTGAATTTCATCTCAGTCAATTTTCAACATTTTTCAGGTACAAAAATTTATACAATTGTAAAACATCTGTGTGCATGGAACCCTACAAAAAATTTTGAAATTTCATGAAAATCAACAAAATTAGAATGAGCTAAAGTGAAAAATGGACATTTCTTTGAAATTTTCACTTCCATTTTTCAAATTCACAAATGACTAATAATGCAATTTTTTAATAAAATAAATCTGGGATTTTCCAAACTTCAAAATGCATCAAATCCAAACAAAATTGAATCCTTTTGGCAGAGGTTAACATTGAATTAACATTAACTATGTGAAAAATGGGAATAATTTTGGATTCCAGTCTCACTTTTAAAATTGTACAGAATTTTGTGTATGTGAACAAGTGAGAATTTTCTAACATCAGTGTATGCAGACTTGAGTTTAATAAAATTTTGTGCCTATTGAAGAATAAAAAACCCAAGGGAAGTGAGTTACAAACAAAAAAGTGGACTTCACTTTTTGTTCAAGAAAAAACAGTTTTGTTATAAAATAAATCTGGGATTTTCCAAACTTCAAAACACATCAAATCCAAAAAAGAAAATTGAATTATTTTGGCAAAAGTTAACATTAAATTAACCTTAAATATGTGAAAAACGGGAATAATTTTGGATTCCAGCAGTCTCACTTTTAAAATTGTACAGAATTTTGTGTATGTGACCAAGTGTGAATCTCTTAACATCAGTGTATGCCGACTTGAGTTTACTAAAATTTTGTGCCTATTGAAGAATAAAAAAACCCAACGGAAGTGAGTTACAATCAAACAAGTGGACTTCAGTTTTTCAATTCCCGTAGCAATTACCAACAAAATGGGAACCCTCAAACTGATGTGCACCATAGCAGAAGCAGTAAAGTGGAGGGAAGCATGACTCCAGGGAGTCCAGGCCCAGTAAGGCTCCAGTTCAATCCCACTCCTCTGCATCCCTTCTTCAAAAGCATTATGTTTTCTTAGTCATAACTTGCCCAATTTTTTACTTTTTCCGACAAAAAAATATCAAAATTTATAGAAATGTAATGCGCATCCAAAAAAAAATCTCAAAAATGAAATTGATCCAATACACAAAAATTTATCATGAGTTACACTTACAACTTGGACTTTTTCATTTCCCAACATATTGACTTTGAAAATGTGTCAAAAATTAAATTTGTACTCAGTTTGCAAATTTTTTTCAAGTATTGCAAGCACACACACGTTTCCCAAATCTTCTTTTTTGACATTTTGAAAAAGCTTCAAAATTGGGTGAGATACAAACAAAAATGCAAAACTGTTTTTGAAAATCTTACAAAAAGTGGAAAAAATGCTTTTAGTCCATAAATTTTGACTCATTCAATTTTGAACATCTTTCAAAATGAAAAATATGTAAAATTGTAGAAATATGTGCACATCCAACCTTTGAAACAATTTTGGCCATTTATAAGGCCATTTTCAAGGGTGTGTCAGGCAAAACCCAATCCTCAACTGGGACGAGTTTGAATCCAAAACAAAGGGCTCAAGTGTAGTTATGAATTCAAAGATTTTCAAATTTTGTGGAAAAAGAGAATGTGACAGGTGGTCAAAACAGACCAAAAAGTGGGGTAGGTTTTAGTGTGGGTGGGAGACATTTACTTTAGCTGAAGTGTGTGTGTGTTTTTGTGCACAGTCAAGTTGGATATTTTGCATTTTGGATACCCAACCCCAAAGATTTGGATGGATCTGTAACATATAATATGATCAAACAATAGAGGAAAACAATGTAAAAGTTTACCTGATCTTGCAAAGGTTTGTGATAGATAATATAATCTTCTCTGTACCTTGGCATCCCACCTTGAACCATTGATTAGCTTAGATCATTGATTTTTAAAAAGTTTTTCTGGAATTCTAAACATGATGCCCAGGTGTGGCTGGGCACCCCCAGCTTGTTCAATAGAGGAAAACAATGTAAAAGTTTACCTGATCTTGCAAAGGTTTGTGATAGATAATATAATCTTCTCTGTACCTTGGCATCCCACCTTGAACCATTGATTAGCTTAGATCATTGATTTTTTAAAAGTTTTTCTGGAATTCTAAACATGATGCCCAGGTGTGGCTGGGCACCCCCAGCTTGTAAAAAGGAATGTTAACCCTGCGTGCGACTTACACATTCACACAAAATAAACAGAAAAATATCGTTACAACGAAGCCCATGGGATCTAGAAAAAACAACATTCGAAATAGCAAAAAATCGTTATACCGGTGAACTCGGCCTACGATGTTGTTGCCTGCAATGATTTTCTCCTTTGGTCATGAAGGATTTTCTAACCATCCCATAGGGTTTTAGTAATGTACAAGTAAATGCAGGGGACGAAAGATATTAGAATTTCGCTGTAGTGAACCCCAACAAGATGGACAGAGAAATTCAGGAAACCAGAAATAAAATTCGTCCGTAGAAAGAATTTCGTAGCAGAGAAAGTTCACTCTACATGAATCTTAAATAGTTTTATGGCTAAAAAGTGACCCAAAAAACAACGCATTCGTCCTGAAAAATAATTCGTTACGATATTTTTCTATTAGTGAAAATCACTATTAATCACTTTACAGTACAGTACAAGAATCAAATTCAAGTAGTGTATTCAAATGAAGAATTCCCAACTACCATTTTCAGTTTACGAGAAGGTCAGAAACCCGATTAGATACCCATAGATCTAGCTGGTAATCGAAGCAGGATTAGAATAAACATATTTTTCAAATTCAGACAAAATTCAACTGCTATCAAAGTGCGTCTCATATACGAACTGATTCATTAAAAAAATTTCGAATTGTCCGCTCAACAAATGTAAAGAATAAGATACAGCATAATAAATTGAAAAAAAAATTAGAAAATTGAAAATATTACCGGGTGGTTGTGGAAAACAATCATGTGTCCAAGTAATGAACCAGCTCGCAATGCCTTGCCACACTGAGGACAAAGCTTCATGCCTTTCATCGGTTTGTGCGTCTCCAAATGCCTTTCGTAACTATGGAAAAGCATCGCGAAATCAATACGTCAACAAGTATCCACAAAATGTTTCTTTCACAATGGAAAATCTGGATGTTCTTTAAAAAAGAAAAGAAAAGAAAAGAAGTTGCCGAAGATAACGTGAACCCAGGTATCCTTCCTTCAAATTAATAAACTTTCTTCGATATTTCTGATCATGTGAAGAATTTTTTTCTTTTCTTTTCGAATGTTCCTGGTGTTTATTTGAAGAATTTTACGCGTATAGCATTTACTTCATAATTTAAGCAGGAATTTTCATGGAAAATAGGAGAGATTAGCTTCACATTACTCGATTGAGGCACTTTTCTGGCGGGTCGGGAAACCAAGTGAAACCAATTCTCTCCAACTTTATATCATTCAAAGCCTTTCCGGTTTTTGATGAATTTTGGAACGAATGAAATTCAATAACCAAAGCACATCCAGAAATGGAAAAAAAGAAAATTCAAATGAACACTCACGCAGTCCGGGAAGAGTTGACCAATCCACACTCGGCACACTCATACGTCTTCTTCCCATGCACACTATTCTCATGATCCCTGAGCGTTCGCTGCGTCTTAAACTCTTTATCGCACTCGTCGCACTTGATCACCTGCTCTTCCCTATGCTCCAACGCCGCATGAATCCCGAACGCAGTCTCAGTCATGCCAACAAAACTACACCGCAAACACTGCCTCGCCTTGATCCCCAGGGCTAATCTCTCGTCCTTCGTCCTCCCGATCTTCCCGCAATGCTTGAGCTTCACGTGCTCGTGCAACGCATCCTTCGTCATCGTCGTGCGACACGTGATGCACGACACCTTGTCGCAATTATCCAGTCGGTGGAGTTCCATGTGGTGGGAATAGTCGGGATGAGCCGCGTAACTGAGTCCGCATTCGAAGCACTTGA